GAAGCAGCAATGCTGGTTATGGGGCACTGCTGTGAGCAGGATGAGGGAACTGATCCAGTCAAAGAAAAGCTGCCAAAAAAGGGGATTTGTAATCTGCTTCACATCCCCATCCCCTGCTGATCCTGGCATTAGTGAGTAGGTGACACAGAAGAAAACCCAAGAGATTCAGAGTGAGAGAGGAGCAGGAATTGCACAAACTAGCCCTTGCCACTGGAAAATGCAGCTAGCCAGGATTTGTGGAGGAACAAAAGGGTTAATGGCCATTTTGTTCACCCACATTTTAATTTTCATGCTTTCTTCCATTAATCAATCTGAGCTTGAGTAAAATTTCACAGAAACTTACAAGATGAGCAGATCATCTGGGGGAAATCACATCTCTCAAAATAGGTTGCAATGCAAATGAGGATGCCTGGCATTGTCAAAATTATGTTTTTAATGCCTACAGCTGAATTTCCACTAAGTTCTGAGACTTCAATAATCTGAAATTGTCAGCATCCAAAACACCACTTTCTGAACAACATCCAAAGTGTCAGCTGCATCAGGCAGTCATGGTATATCTGGATTGCAGCATCAGGTATGAAATGAAAAATCACTAGTTTGTGATTAAATGTGACTAGACAGGCAGACTGGGTGTCCTGGGCTTTCTCCAAAATACTCTGTGGTGACCCAGATCAGATGCAACTGACAAAATGAAGAAGATTCAAACAGACAGCAAGTGAGTTCCTACAGAGATATGCAAATTGTGAGACCGCAGTATGACACAGCTGGTCCCACACACTGCTCTGAAATTTTACAAGAAACCCCTGGTAAGGAATGATGGCCTACATCTGAATTTCTGAGCCAAAATAATCATTTCCACTTGAAAGAATAAGATGTCAGTAAAAAGACAGTGAGCGTAAAGGTAAATAATTCGTGTTGACTGTTGTTATGAACAAAAGGTACATCAGGAAATGCCATTTCAAGTAATGCCCCCAAATCCTGACGTATTAGCTGTCAGCAAAGGAAGCTGTGAATTTTGTAAAGTAACATTTGGCTTGACTTCACACTGCTAAAAACCTTCTCATATGAACCATCTTACAGCCCTGGAAAGGATTGTCAGGGTTTGTAGGCCAGTGAGACACTAATGTTGTCTTCAGGAGCACTGAAGTCTGAGGGACGCTCACTGGGGAGTATTTCATCTAGAGGCCAAGGAAAAGCACATGTAGGGCACCAGTAACAGTTTGTGTTTCTTGTCCTGCTGTATTTGGAATCACTGATGGTGTTCTCCATTTGGAAGCCATCTGTAACCTGCTTGGACCTTGCTCCCTGCTAATGCAGATAGGTGAAAAAATAACGTGCTGGTCTCACTGTTAATCGCCGCATCTGTTAATCAGAGGAATGAGTCTGTCTGAAGTGGACCTCCTTCCTGTAATTGTTAAAGAAGTTGTTCTAGTATTACTGCAAAACCACCAATGAGCACAAATTGAGCTCTCTCCACAAAGGCAGTGACACTAAAAAATTATCATTAGGCAATGGTGGAGACCTATGCATTCATATTTCTATCTGGATAGAGTAGAACAAAACTGACATTGAAAATGTTCTCCATACATTTGAGGACCACCTTTATTTCTGCTCAAAGCAAGAGGCAGAGTTGTATAGAACACTACTACATAGTATTTGCTGTGATTTTATGCCACAGATCTATGTGATGTTCTTGAAGAGATAATTTCATTTTACAATTTGCTGTGATTTTATGCCACAGATCTACGTGATGTTCTTGAAGGAATAATTTCATTTTACAGCATCTTAGTTTCTCTCTTGAAGAACACTTTATATTCCTTTAACTCTGAAAGACAGAAGCAGAGGTATTTATAGCACCTTTATAATCTGCTTTGGCATCTAGCAGTTTCACAGCTCTAGAAAGCGGCTAGTATGTATGTTAGGTGGGATATACCTTATAAGTCAAATTAATTTGAATTTTAGATATTTCTTTATAGCACCTTTATAATCTGCTTTGGCATCTAGCAGTTTCACAGCTCTAGAAAGCAGCTAGTATGTGTGTTAGCTGGGATATACCTTATAACTCAAATTAATTTGAATTTTAGATATTTTAAGAAATGTGGTCAGCTGCTAAATGCCCCAGCCCTCAGGTCCCTTGCAGGAGCTGTTTTACTTTCATGGAAGTTAATTTATAGTAATAATTTGTTAATATCTCAGGTCCCTTGCAGGAGCTGTTTTACATTCATGGAAGTTAATTTATAGTAAGAATTTGTTAATACCAGAGAAAAATCACTGTGGTATTGGCATATTAGGAGGTGTAGAGTAGGTCCTGGGCTTTGACTGCTGTTTTCAGTAAAAGTCTTATAAAACATTTGTTGCAAGTGCAGCATAGATGGTAAGTCTGAAATGAAATGTGCAAACTGTCATCTTAATCATCACATAGTTTTTCAAGCATATAAAAAAATATTGAAGACAAACACCTGCCCTGGGCTCTAAATGCATGAGAATGAAAAGCAAGGAAAGCAGCATCATCCAGGGATATGTTGATACTCACTAAAATCAAGCAAGCTAAGATAAAGACATTTGAAAGCTGGAGGAGATAGAAAAACTGATAATGGACCTAGAAATATTGACATATGTGGAAAATAAACTAAATATATGATACCAGTCTACAGCTATTTGATGAAAGTATTTAACAAAGGCAGAGAACTCTGTATAGTTAGTAACAGGGAGAAAGCATTAGAAGCCATGGGCAGAAGTCAAGAAAAGAAAAATAAAATTGATTGACAGCAGAAACTCCTTCTGAGAGATATCTGTTAGCTTGAAGACCTATCTAAACTGCAGTAGTTGGAACACCATTTACTGCAGTATTTGAAGACAGAAAACAATCCAGTGTAAAAGATTTGTTGCATGACCTTCTGCAGTAGACCTTTCCCACTAAGTATTTAAGGTTATAGGGTTCATGGAATGATAGAAAGTAGTGCAGCTTTATTTGATAAGAAGTAGGTGGGACTCCAGCTTACATTCAATACACAGAAAACTTTGACTTGTAAGTATTCATGCTGTGTCTTATATAGGCTTTTATTTCTAGACTCTAGGATGCAGCAACAATATCACATAAAATTCATTACTTCTATGAAATATTTTTAATTACAGGTTATTGGGGATTTTGTCTTATCAATGTGATGCATGCCTCAATTTTTTTATGCTCACTCAAAACAATTTTAGAAATATCAATCTTAGAGAGAGAATCTTCAGCACTTTCTGAAATTCAGAATTTTTGGAAATTATGCATGTCTAAACTGAGAATTTTCAGCAAAAAAAAGAACTACTTCTCCAGCTCTGATTCCTGTACAATGAATTCATCAAAACTCAGCACCCAAGCATGGCAAGGGTGAAATATTAACAAAATTGTGCTAAAAGTCCTAAGGCATTTCTAACATTGTTTTCTGGCAGGTACACCACTCTTAGATGGCATGTCATTGTTAAATAAAGAATGAAAGAAGTAGACTTTTAAAATTAAAGCAATACCTTTTAACAAAAAACCCAACAATCTCACAGACATCAAGTATGAAACAGTATTTAAGTCAGTTCTTTGAGGGGGTCAACTCTATTTATATTTCAGACTATAATATAATACTAAGTAATAAAAATATATAGCTTAGTTCAATACTATTTTTATTTCAGATGGAAAAGGTCTTGTTTCTACTGGACCTTGGAATGCTTCATATATAGGTAAAGCCTTAAATGTGAAAAAAGCATTTCTGGATAACAGTGTGTGCAGTTACACTTACTGTACACTTGTAGTTGTCCTCTGAAGACATTTCTTCCACGAGAGTTTTCAGCCTTACATTCGTACATTCCCGCGTCCTCTAGCTGCACATTAGGAATTTCAAGCACAGCTTGGGATTTTCTCAGGCGGGCTTTACTTGGATTATGACCGTTAACTTTCCTCCAAGAGATTGTTGGAACGGGGCTGAAATATTTAGTAAAATTACTGTTAACACTCTTCTGCTATTGAGAATATAGATTCTGTTATCTAGTAGTTTAAACACTTAATAACCTAAGTAGCAATAATGTATAACCACAATTATGGTTCATATAATGCTTGATATACCTCACTTTCTGCAGGGAATCCATAATAAATGGCTTGCTCCATGGAATGTGTCTCTTTCATCCACAAGGGAAGCTAGGTTTTTATTGAGATCAAGTAAATACCTTGAAATACCCTCACTAGAGTTTCTTTAGCACTCTATGCTTTACTCCTGGATGCTTCCACTTGATAGGCCAAAGAAAATAGTGACTTCAAAACCTGGATGAATTCAGCAAATTCCAACACACCCCAATTTTCCTTCAATGAATCTGCAGTTAAGGAGATCCATCAATGATAATGTCCATCTAGGTGAAGGATTTCACTACCACCCTTTCTTGGACAAAGTAAGGTGACCAAAGGTTTAGAGACTTTTTTTGTTACAATATTCTTCAAGATGCAAAACTGATTGTGTAACAATGTATTAATGGCACTACTGCTTCTGGCTCACAACATTACACACCTGCTAATGGGAGCAGAAGGGCCTTTCAATGTAGTTTGCTGTTCCACACAGCCCTATGTGGAAACCGGGTCATTTATGTTCATACTGAGGGAAGAAATGGATTACATAGTGTTTGCACTAATAAAATTTTCTTTTTAGCCCAAATACTCATCAGTCATTGTGTACCCACTGGGCTTTTTGGTACAGACATACATTTGTTTAAGTATGGCAGATACTTAAGGAGGAAGAAAAAAGAATAAAAAAAGAACTGCAGTTATGAAATATTTGATTGTGAACAGAAAACTAGACTGCTTCAAGTACTCCAAAAGAAGCTTGAAGGATGCCATAAAGGAAAATATTTTGTATTTATTTGAACTATATTCAAGTCTAAGCTTAGATATAAGCATAGAGTCTCATGGCAGTTTAGATGGGGAAAAGTACTTTGTAGCACAGATTCAAATTCAAAACTCCCGTGGATTGCTGCCATGTTTTGTGAAATTCCACTTGTAGATACTCATAAGTATATGACGTTGCATTAAGAATATCACCTTTCCCTCAGTATTTCAGAGTGTCCAATTTGAGGCACAAAAAAAAGTATATATGGCAATCAAGTTCTGCTTATTCTTCAGCCAGTTAGAATCAGGCAGCGAGTTACTGCAGTCATACACAAACTTGCAGACAAGATGCTCCAAATTCTAGTATTTGATAGAGATTCAGAAAATTTCCAGATTCATAGTTTGATGTCAGAAGATTTCTCTAATCTTATTTCATGAATGCCACATATCACTGAATTTCACTGAGCCTGTTAGCATAATTACCTTCACAAAGGCAACATATAGAATGCTATCTGCTAATTATATGAATATACCAGAAAGAGACAATCATTATTTCCCTTATCAGTTTGCTGCACTGATTATTTAACCTGACAAAATGTACTTTATTGTGTGTGTGTATTCATTCGTCTCTGAGACATGATTCCTACAATGTATCTCCGTTCTTGCAAGATTGTCCTTAATCATTGTCCCCAACAGAAGAAAGAGCTGTAAGGAAATCAAATCATCTTTGTTTTTCCTTACTAAACAAAACAGGCTGACCTCTTTTTCTTCAGCACTCCAATTACATATATATTTTTCTTTTTATAGATGTTCGTGGATCATATGATGAGTGTGTATCATATGACCTCTTTTTCTTTCCCCTGCTCTATCACCATAGCAGCTTGAAAACTTTCTCATTTTTAATCTGAAATTTCTTGCTTGATGACTGATTTTGAATTTTGGTGTCCTGTATGTCTGGTTTGAGCACCCTTTTCTGCACCTTGTATGGTTCCAATTTATAAAGTTTGGTTCCTATTAGAAGTTATATTGCATAGTTTTAAGTTAAAAGATTAAAAGAACTTCTCATTCTTATCTGACACAAGTACTTCAACATGTTCAATTCTAAACAGGGATAAATAGGATACTTCTGTTTCTAATGCAGTAATAAAACTTACTGTCTTAGCCCCACCACTTATGATATTCCTTTCACATCCTTAGCTACATATTTTGGTTTGCTGTACTTTAATATCTATCTGTATATATTAGATGTAATACAAATAACAATGTTAGTTTCTTTTTTTTCCCCCCATTTATTAGTTATCATAATTTGTTTCTAATTGCACACTTTGATATTCAAATTTATACACTTTCTTGAATGACTTCCTGGAGATTTTGTAAGTCCTGCATTCGGCCCTAAGAATCAACTCCTTATATACCTGCTATCTTTCTATATGGAATATAATTGTGTCATGATTGCTGGTTGCTGGCTGACCAACAGCCACCATGGCAAGACAAGGGTTTCATTATTAATCACAACACAGGTCCACAGTAGGAATACTTTATGCTGGTATAGTGCAATAGTACTCAACAACTGCTGTTTTATGACTGAGATAGGTGTAGAGATGCAATTTATTTGACACCATAATGATGCTATGCATATTGCCCATTTTCAGGCATTTGTTCTTCAGTCCTGCATCCAGTAAAATCAGTGACAAAAATGCTTTTTCTCTAATCACAAAAGAAAGCTGATTCTGTTGAATGGAACTGGTAAAAAGAATTTTGGGGATTATAAACTATGAAGATTGTCTCATTTAGCTGCTATTTTTTGAAATTTTCTTTTGTGTTTTCTACAGCAAGTAAATGTGTGCAACATGGTAAACAGAGGAAACTGGTTACCTGGGACATTAGGAAACATTTTAAAACAACTTATTTTTTTCCTTCATCAGTATGAGGTGGTTGGTGGAATTTTTCAAGGAGATAAAGGTACTGTAACTGTGCAGATTTAATAATTTCAAAGGAAAGTACTCCCATATTACAAATCAGTATTTTCAGACAACTTGTATTTCAGGTTAATGAAGCTTATTTTCCTTGCATAACATGCAAGTGTGGTATGAATTTTACATCTGAAATAAAAATATATCTACACCTATTTCTCCTCTGTGACTTCTGTGAGATTGAAATGAAATATCTGAGTGAGGATGTGAAAGAATAAAATTGCGTGACTGTTCTAGAAAACTCATAAAATCCACCATAAAAACTAACTAACATATGAACATTCTCCATCTTCTCAAATGAACCAGAGCTTTTTAAAAAATAGAGCAACAGCATTAATACGAGTTTAATGTAATATGCATAATTATTGAATCTTACAACCATTATAATCCATTTTTATTTTGGTCTCAGCAGACATCTATGGGAATACAGTTTCCTTGTTTATTATAACCTTGTTCACATTCAGATCCTATGAGTAACTTGATTGAGTTACAATTGAGCTAAAAGATAAGATTTCCTCTTGCTTTTAGAAAAAAAGAAATCTGCTGAATACTACTGGTAAATCTTAGTACCACAAAGAAAAAAAACTACTTGATTTCAGAAACACCATCATTAAACTTCTCATTAATCCAAGCTGAAATAAAAATTCTAAGGGGTCTCTGGTGAGTGTGATAGACATTACTGTGGTCTTGCTAACTTTGAATTTGAAGAAAACATGAGTTATAATTTTACATTTACATTTAGAAGAGAATGTAAGAGCTAATTTTTGGCAGTATATTATTTGGGACAAGTGTTATTGAATTTGTCAGGAATTGTTCACAAGTTTCAATAAAATATGGAAATAAAAATAATTTGAAAAAATTGGAAGCAACTCTTTTCCCTTTCAATTTCATCTGAGAAAGAATTTAATTATGACTCTAAAGCACATGTTTATTTTGGGAAAGGGATGAGGTGGAAATAAGAGTAATGTCTGAATTTTAAAGTACCTTTTCCATGGATCCGAGCTCCTAGTTTTTCAATAATATCTCATATAGGAATGCATTGATTATGTTTTCTATATTCAGTTTGTATAGATCGATGTGAAGGAAATGAAGATGAGTTTGAAGCATGTGTGCAAGAACAAGTCCAGGTCTACAAGTCACTTCAATACACATTCATGACTGTACTAAAAAGGTCTGATGCAGGTATGAGTGTCATATACTAATGTGGATGTGCTTTCCCACCACTGTTGGCTTGTTCTTTATGTCACAGAGCAAGGCCAGTGCCTGCTTGACTGCATGTCAAGCTCCATCACATTTTTCTTCACACTTTAAGTCATAGCATGTTAGATCATCTCTAGCATCTAAACAGTGCTATGGATAATGATTTGTTATCTATAAGGGTTCATTATTCACACCAAATTATACTCCAGAGCTTCTCTTTACTGGTTGATCAGAGCCTAAACTTGGCTCAATCTTGACACTTATCTGTCAATAGCTAAAGTTAGATTACATAATTGACACACTTGATGATTTAAATATTTTTTCCAAATTCTTATATTCAAGTTGGACCTGAACACAAGAGTCATTCGATTAAGGTGTAATCAAAGAGTACTGAAGATCCACAATAGGTGAGGTATTGGTTTCACAAGTAGTGAGTAGAGCAGAAGAGCTATTCCACAACTTTTGTTTCTGCATTTAAAAGTTAGATAATGGTATTTACTCTTAATGAAATCACACCAGCACAGCTAGATGATGAAAAATTTAATAAAAAAGAGCTGAACACCTCCTGTCTATTCAGTGTTATCCACATTGCAAAATACTATTTTATATTTTTGTCATCATAGTATTGCAGATGTTACATATATATAGTGGAACTAAGGAGGTGTTGAGCTGTCATGACTGTTAAAAAATAATGGAAGCAAGCTCTATTTTTTCCTCAGCCATACATTAACCACATTTTTTCTAGTCTCTGTATCACCCTACCTCTACCTGCTGGCTGGAGGCATTCTGAAACAATAGGACATTTTTCTAAAAAGTATTAAAGACATAACAACAGGTAAATTGTCACCAGCCTGTGACTTGATCAAGGCTGTTGAGAAGAGAATCTGAAGCAACTTGAAAAGCAAATGACATATGACATTTCATGTTTTCATATAG